TGTGTTTGTGTTGTTCATCAGTAAAAACCTTCAGTAGTGTCTCTTATTGTTGCATGGAGAACTTGTGTGTATATTGCATAAAAACACCACATAACCATTGTAATCTCACTGAAAACTGATGTCAAAATATGCTTTCAAGCCATGCTAACTTATATTAAGTGGAATAATCTTTCATTTTTCAAGAACGGGGACCATCACAGCGAACCCTGACTGCATTCGGGGAACCAGACTACTTGGTCCAGTTTAAGCTTTTCAAGTAAAGATCTCCTCCTCGCCATGTCCTGTGACTCAGACCCTTACATCTTTACCACCGACACCCTACCGACTGACCTCCGCTTCCTCCCTCCACTGGCCAATGGGCTTCTGGGATGGAGGGTGTACAACAATATCATGCACATGGGTGGCGTGTACAACGGGGAGGGTGGACGTTGTCACCGAGCAGATGTCCCCTGTCCTCTAGCTGTGAAGCTGGAGTCAGAAGAAGCGGCCCAGCACTCCTACAGCCTAGACACCCACACAGGTGACGTGTTCGACTGTCTGGTTGCCAGGACTCGTGTTGCTGCTGATCTCATGTCATGCTGTGACGAGTCATCCCTGCTAATTGTCTCATCTGCTCTTCCAGGCATTTTTACCCACACTCTGAGCTCAGCAAGTGTGACCGTCTCCCAGTCTTTGTATTCGCACCGGTACTACTCCAACCTGATGGTGATGGAGGTTCTGTTGGTGCGTCAGGTGACTTCGGAGGAGCCAATCACCGTTAAGCTGGTCAGTTCATTCACACCTCAGAGCAAAGACATCGTGTTCGAGTCTGATCCTGATTACAAAGGAGGAAGGTGAGGTTGATAAAAACGTGTAAAATGCACATTTGTGACTGTTTAGTAAGAGCAGGACACAGTCTACACTCCTCTGTCCCTCAGGCACATCCAAGGAAAGACGAACAGCGCTGAGTTCCCAGGAGGTTCCTGTCCCACAGTGCACCTTATCTGGACCCCCGTGCCCTCCACTCTGACTCTGCTCCCAGAACGGAGCCAGTCTCGCTGGGGCTTCGTCCTGGTCGTGGCCAACAGCTCAGACACTGCTGAGGCCGGTTTTGACGAGGGCCTGGATCTGATGGCGACCGGTAACCTGCGTCCGTCTCACGAGAACGCCTGGAAAGAACTGTGGCTGCAGAGCAAGGTGGAGGCGACGGGCTCAGAGAGCCTCGGCAAGGCTCTGATTGGCTGCATGTTCTACCTCCTCAGTGCCTTCCCCTCCATACATGACACCTCCAGCTCCTTTGGCGGGGTCAGTCCGGGCGGGCTGTCTAATGGCGGGGACGGTCAGGACTACTGGGGCCACGTTTTCTGGGACCAGGTATTGCTAGCTACGTTATTTGCATGTTAGTTAGTTTGGGTTGTTTGATGTATGACACAATAACTCTACCTTCCTGCGTCAGGACATTTGGATGTATCCGGGTATCGCCCTTTTCTATCCCAAGCTCGCCCGATCTGTGCTGCAGTACAGAGTCGGGACTATAGATGGCGCAAAAGACAACGCACAAAAGCAGGGATACAAGGTATGATCAGTGGGACAGGTGACACCATCAAGAGTTATTAGTTTTGTATTTTTCATTAGTTTTTATTTCTATTTTGTCAATTTGGTTTTCAGTTTAAAAATGTTTACTTTTAGATTAGTTTTTATTAGTTTCAGAAGAGGAAATCCAGTGTAAGTAATACAACACCAACACATTGACTAAGTCTTATAAACATCCCAGTCTCAATATACATGTGCACCAAAAGACTAAAACTAAGTATAGTTTGTATATTATTATTTGATTTTGGTTAGTTTTACACAATATCGTTTCACTCGTTTTTTTGAGTTTTTATTTTTATTTCAATTAATTATATTGACTTTCCATAGCTAGATTTAGTTTTTTGTTTAGTTTCAGTGAACTCTAATAACCTTTCCATCAAGCCCAGCAGCCAACTCATAAAACTAGAATTTGGTTTTTTTGTATTTTCGTTTGTATATAGAAAAACAAACAAGATACAACATGTCAGTCAGTCAGTGAGCTTTAGAGAACCTCACATGAATTTTGTTATTTGGACAGAGCCAAGTTTCAGTTGCATTGACAGTGTACAGCTTTATTCCCCAAAACTATCCCCACAGAAAGTACAAGAGTCTACAGAATAAGCAAAACACTGAACAGTTACCTTGAAAGTATTAGCAACACATTAGCCTCAAACAGCTAACATAAAGGCTAGCCTGGTTAGCACTGATCTGCAGATAATAGTTCAGTTTATTTGGTGTTTGATGCTTGAGGGACTGTGGCAGCAGGGACTGATATCAGCAACATGAGGAGCAGTGTTGGATGTATTTTATTGTGTTTGTGTGCATATTCTTGTTCTACATTCAACAACAACAGCGTCTTCTCAAGAAGAGATAACATCTTTACAGGGAATAAAGTTCCCGTGGGAGAGCGCAGTGTCGGGGAGGGAGGTGTGTCCAGAAGACATTTATGGACAACAAGAGATTCACATAAACGGAGACGTCACTCTGGCCTTCCAGCACTATCTCTACCTCACTGAGGTATTCTCTCTGATCGCCACCACGTTGTCTCAGCCTGGGTGACGATATTAACTGAGCTCTGTATTGCAGGACCTGTCCATGTTCACACAGGGCCAGGGCAGTGAGGTGATATACGGTGTGGCTGATTACTGGGTTTCTAGAGTTACCTGGAACCCAGACGACCACAAGTATCATCTCACGGGTAAAAGGCCGTTATTAGAAAGATTACACTGAATTTATTGAGCTTTACTTGGTTATCAGGCAAATTCTTCAATAAAAGCTAAATTAAAGACTTGACTTATCTGCCACTTATCTCATAAAATGATTAATCTGATGAAACAGACTCAGTGTTCTTATTTCTTTCATTTATTATTTTTACGTGTTTATTTTCTATATTTATACACACATACTTTTATACCTTAAACCTTTGTGGCTAACTTGGAAGCATCACTGTATGATATATATATAATCATTATCATATCATAGCATCAATATTGTTTTATTGAAATATTGTGAATCATTTCCCCTTTGTGCCGTTTAGGTGTCATGCCACCCGATGAGTATTATTACAATGTCAACAACTCTGTGTACACAAACACGGTGGCCAAATTCAGGTACTAGTATTTGAATATTTCCTTGCAGTGCACATTAACTCATGAATACCAATAATACAAAACGTTTCTCATTCGTCAGTCTCCAGTTCGCTGTAGAATTGGCTGACCTCCTCCAACATCCTGCACCGAAGGAATGGCAAGAAGTTGCAGAACACCTAAAAATACCTTTCGACCAAGAAACCCAGTACCACCCTGAGTTTGATGGCTATATTAAAGGTATTATCTTTTTGTTCCTTTCTGGCCTCTGTAACAAGAAATCAAGAGTCCATAACATGATGTCAGAATGTCTTTTGGACCTTTCATAGGTCATCCAGTGAAGCAGGCAGACACAGTGATGTTGGGATATCCTCTTGGACTGCCAATGACCCCAGAGGTCAGGAGAAATGACCTCGAGGCCTATGAGCCAGTAACAGACCCTCAGGGTCCAGCCATGACATGGGTACGACACAGCATGTTGTATGGTCAGCACAAAGCTGGTGTATTTGAGATTTACTGGCAAATGCACTTTTAAAAATATTACATTGATTTCATGATTATTATTATTATTAAAAATAATAATAATAATAATATAGCAATTTCCTTAACAGTGTTACAGATTTCTCTACAGAAGACAATTAACATAAAAAGCATGAAACACCAGCAGATATTTTTTGGAGTATTTATTAAAACTTTTCTATAAAACAAAGCTTTAATGAGGGATTTCTGAGATAAAACTGTGATGTGAAGGAAGTATTCATATCTGTTACTAATGTAAAAGTAGCAATACTACAATGTAAAAAATGCATTAAAAATCTTACTTAAAGCTGCGGTAATCATATTTTATATCAAGACTGGATCAAATGAGTATGCGTATGTGAAAGCAGTTGTTTGTAGTGACATACGTAGAGAGAATTATCACCCAGCTCTGCAGTTTCTTCTCACCTCCACAGAGCATTTTTCAGCTAATTGCTTTTTGTTTTACAGCAACTTTATTGATTGACTCTCATCAGCATCGTTTTCAGCTGGTTTAAGATAAAATGCTGATAAACCTGCTAACTGCTCTGCACCAAATAGGTCAGGAGTTAAAAACAGAGCTAAAAAGAGACTGAATATTGCACTAACATTTACCATCATGTGTAAATAGCCAACTGTGCTCACACATCAACTTTATAAGGTGATAATATGTCAGTGTTGTATTTACTGCTTGTTGCACTGCCCATTTGAGGCCAAAAAATACATTAATGTAGCTTTAAAGAACCAAAAATGTATTGAAAGAATCAAAAGTTATTGTTATGCAGCATATGTCAATATTTTATTGTATAGTCAGTCCCTCCAGGATTATGCTGGATTTCAGTTTTTCTAAAATAATTTGTGATGCATGTTGTGATGTTTTTAAGCATTTTTTTTGCAATGACATTTCAGGAGAAAGTTAATATTGCAAAAA